GTTCCGATGTGAATCAATTATTTACTTGATAGCGCTTCCATGTCCCCAACAGTTCTGCATAAGCTGCGCAGATGCATAAACAGACAGAGCACCCACTTCCGTCACGTCGCTCTCTGTTTGTTATTCAAGGTAAGTGGTCGACGTGGTTGGTTTCCGATCAGAATATGTTAACAGTGGTCACGGATAACTGCAGTCACGAAGCTGACACAAGCACGATATCATTCCGTCTACTGCAGTGATAGTTCCGAGCTCTCCGATGAGACTCTGGTGCAGAATCACGGTCTTGCCACACAGCTAGACACGACTAGATTTGACTCGAAGGTGTTCCGAGCGAGAGGTCTATTAGTAGCCATAATGGAGTGAACATTGTGTCACGGTCTATCATGAGGTGTTTGACTATGCAGGTACACTTGTATCTCACTGTATGTTCGTCCCACCGTCCCAAGCGACGAGGATGCATGGCATGGTTGTCCACTTCTATTCCACATTTGGGTTATAGGGTTGGAAAGATTCAAAAATATAAGAGAGAGAAAAAGAAACGGAAGAAGATTCCACAACTTTTGTGACATCGACAGTGTGAAAGTTCCTCGTCCTTCGGAATTCATTCATGGCTTCATAGACTGTGGGCTCGATTTGCTCCGATGGGTCGGTTCAGTTTTATGAAAGCTTGACAAGTCAAGATTCTTCACCAGTGGAGGTTTCAAAGAATTCTCGACGAAAATGCTGACAAATCTCGGTCCACGTTCTGTTCCACACGTAATTGATCAAACACCACGCCGTCCAGAACTTCAGCGATGATGTCCATGTTTCAAACTTCTACCACTTCTTCCACGACGGAGGCAATGAACAGCTGCTCTTCATACTCTGCCTACTTCCACAATGAAAGAGATTGGCAAGCCGATGAACAAATCGACGGATAAGCCAAGTATTTCACCACCACCATTCACTCCTTCGTTCCACCATCGAAATTTCTACACGGTTCGAAGTCTACCACAAAATGAGCACACAAGGTCACGCCATGAAATGATATAATACATACACCGTATAATGTGCAAATGAGATCGATACGGCAGCACTAGCCATTCGATTCCCCGTCCTCTGAGTCACAAGACCGTTCAAACTTTCGTCTCGGAAATTTCCCATCTCCCCTCAGGGAAACGATGGATTTCTGATTTTTCCTAGATTTGAGCCAGTAAGCGAGCAAAGGCGAACGGGATCCTAAAGTTCTCTTTTCACATGAGACCGTTCCATTTACCTACTTCGGGACGCTTTAGTGCCCTCGTGTCACAGTACGAGATACAAGGTGTCCCTATAGGTACTTTCGCCAGGCGGGTTCGGGTCCTCGGGAGCAGAGGAAGGGCCTTACGGGGCAGACGGTGGAAGTTTGGAGCTGACCGCGGCCCGGCCGGGCCGGGCCGGCGCCGGGCACCAGGCATCGCGGGCTGGGCAGCAGGAAGGATGAAGGGGGGAAATCTGAGGGAAAGGGTGAAAGAGGTGCGGGGTAGAAGAAGCACAAACGGAGGGCGATCGGTGGGGACACAAAAGAGCGGGAAGTTCATGGAGCGCAGCGACGGCAGGGGGCATGGAATTACTCGGTCGACACGAACTACGCTCTGCGGCGAGCGAGCGAGAGAGAGGGTGCGTCGATCCAGTTGATCTTTCTACACGTGCCTGTTGACCGCTGCTCTCCTTGCTCCTCACCCCTGCCTTCTCATCCGCGCTATCTTCGCGGCTCTACGGAGAGGATTGTCACTGTACGTCCACTGCCCCGCATCCTCCGTCGTCGACTTCCGAGGAGTCGGAAGGAAGATGTTCGGTACGACCGGATCGTCCAATCCCGAAGGCTGTCGACGGCATGGAGCCAGTCACCAGCGTCGACTGATAGAACCGACCCGCTGCCGGTGACTACTCATGCCATCCATCCCCTGTCGGAGGGTTTCCCTGACATCTGACTGGAACAGCGGGGCAGGCCCCAAGGTTCTGCTCCTGCTTATGGTAAGTAGGATACTCGGGAACGTTGGAACGAAGCAGGTCCCCTGCAGGATCTCGACTACGCCGTGCTGCGCTGATGCCGAGGACGGGTAGGCGAGTGCCGATACGTTACTCCTACGCGCTCCTCTCAAGTACGCGCAACTTCCCTTTCGAAACTGGAGTTCCAAATTCCGAATTCCCGACCCCGCAGACGGAGCCGTTACTGGTCTGTCCATCCGAAGGCACATCGACACTCTCAGACCCAAGCATTAAGCCGTTGAAACCCCATCTTCCCTCCTGAGTATCTGCCTGCCGCTCTCTGACCTTTGGTCCCGGTTCCGTTGCCATTTGAACGCACTCACTTGCTCCGAAGACTGTACACCGTGGTGCACATTCGAACTGCGTCGTGATTGATTGCATTACACATCTGCAACTGCAGTAATCGTCGTGGCGAGCCACACTGAAAGGGAAGAGCAAGCTCGTATTATTATCGTATCTAGAACGTATGCGTGGTTTGGGATTCTATCGTGCTTATGAACCCTACATTCCCGACGGCCGTAGGCTTGCGTCTGCGATCCATCCATCGGTCAAACCGACTGAATCGGTTGACCTATGGATGACCCCTCATGGCGATACTCCGTATCCGAGTGAATGATGAAATAAACGTCCGGAATTGTGCACCCGCACGAGGCCTAAGGGAAGCGAGTTTTTATTGCTCCCATCTGGATGGAACAGGAATTAAAGGAGCCCACGACTTGAAGGCGACGGCGAGTCAAATTAGCATACGACTTCGGGTCTAGGGTGACGGCGTTGTGAGCAAATTGACATTCGTCCTCTGTGGACTGGGCTCTGGACCTCGGTTAGATTGCGAATTCTCTCTAAAATAGCGCCTTTGAGCGGATGACAAGCGTTCACCCACGAGATAAACTAGATAGTTAAGATCTCTTTCCCACTGCGATGCTATTGGCCTGGGTCATTTCACCCGTTCATCCCTGTACGGCTTGATGGGTCCGCCCATAATTGTGCTATATTAACCCGTTCTCCCAAAAGTTAGCCGACTCCAGTCGGTCACGATGAGGTGGCATGTATGTCTGGACCTGTCTTTCAGGGTTGAGGGATACCGCAACATTGAAAGCTCGGAGAGTGGGAATAGTTCAAAAGGCCACAGGATGCATGCTCTTCGTAAAGGCCAAAACATCAGTGATGGTGGCAAATATCTTTTTTTCCCGCTCGTTGTTGCGCCTTTGTATTGCGCTAGAGATCTACGACCCGGGTGCGGTCCCACCTCTGCTGGGTTCGGGGCATACTGAAAGTGTGGGGGCAGGCGCCTTGCCGCTCTACACTGCGCATGACCCAGCTCCTGCGTCAGCGCCCGTCACGAAGGCTGGGCGCAGCTCTCTCTCGCTCCTTTCTAGGTCTGGACTCGGTCCATTCATGGAGGGGATTGCGACGGAACAGCCGAGCCTTCGGTCATGTATTCTGTACTGTACGTATATACTGATGTCGTCCGTGTGCTTGGTTGCTCGCAGCCAAAATGTCACGAGCTCCTGTGGAGATCGGTGGGCAAACAAACCCTCGTAGAAATGTTGAAGATTCTGCCAAAATTCGATTTGTTCTCGACATTCGGACTTCTAGGTGTGTGACAATTAATTGCCCGATGGATTGTTTTGACAGCGAGTTTTCTTCCTTGGCGTTTTGTAGCTCTAGTCAGCATCCAGTTCTAACGTGCTCAGCAGATGTTCGATACCCGGAGTTAGAACGGCTACTTAGAGAAACGAGACCGACAGTTCATTTCTGGACAGTACAAACTCGGCCAGTCATGTCCTGGAGTAGTCTTCCTTACCATTATCTATATGATACTGCGATCTGGCAATACGAGGTTTTTAGTGATGAGCATTTACCATCCACGCATGGAGGTATCTAACGAGTCGTCTCAATTCTCGGAAGACATTGCACGACGGCAAGGTGAGTCTAGGTCTTGTAAGTTTCCAGTTTGTCCAGAGCATGAATCTGGTGCCATGTGCAAGTCGTGCTGTGCAAGGAGTTTTAAAACTTGAGAAAGATGTAGGTTACATACGTTGACAAAGCAGTGCAATAGACCCAAATAATGTCTCTTGAGTTGATGAATAAGGAACTACTTCTGCTCTTTGACCAACCTGTAGCTCCAATTTCTCACAATCAGCAAAAGCTTAGCTATCCATATGTTAGAACGGTGGCAATAAGGATGGTCACCTGGTCTGCCGCGACAAAGACGTGATGATCTTTTACCATTGATTGCAACAAGGTGACAAGGTGAGTACTTCTCGCGATTCTCGGTGTCAGTTGGGAAGATAAACGTTGCACATCGTCAGCGACTTCGACATGATATGTGTGTGCAGCTTCCAAAGGTTTTCTCTTTCAAATTGTCTCGATCGCGTAGGATAAATACTATCATCCTATCAAAATTGTGGATTGAAAGTATGAGTTTCCAACAGTTGTTTTCAAACCTACAAAAGATCATAGGAATAAATATTTTCCAATCTTCTCTCCAACTTTTAAAGGTCAGATATGATCGACACGAAACACCTTGCTTCGACAACATTTTTGAGTAGAAATATAGTTCATATTACAATAATATACAATAGAAAAGGGTAGGATGTAACTCTATCCTTATTGAGGGCTTGAAACTCATCCAGTTAACAAGGCAACATCAAAGGACTGCGTGTAGCATGGTCTGCCGGTCTTGATAATGTTACAATATAGATGTGTGAATATTGAATTTACAAGAGCGAGCTTCCGACATCGAAAAGCAAGATGCAAAACTCAACCTTACTAAACTCTGAAACTATGCGATCAATTTGAAACGCAACCCAGTTCTTTCAAGCGGCAAATAAAGGCAAGCAGTGGTCAGGGGCTCAATCATTTCAAAAGGGTGCAGAGATCACCCTGGCCACAACCTGCGACGAATCTAGGTGTGCATTTAAAATGAAATAACGATACCATCATGATCTTCTATTCCAACGTAGGATGTACATTTTATGTCTAGTGAAGTACGAAGGCACTATTCTAACTGAGTTGGCAGCAATCTTCAAAGATCAAAGATCGTGCACCTTCCTTCCACTTATCGATCAGAATTGCAACTTTTTCTTAAGCGTGAGGAAAATATTAATCTTCAGGGACATTTTAAATGTGTGTGAAATCAGGTACAAGAGGTACCTCTGTATCTAGTGTACAACAAATACCTTCAAAATATCGCAAGATCTTTGAAAGGTATACAACTCAGATGTAAGGGCATTTAGTACTATTGCAGTAAACACCAAGTATGAGCGAAGACTATTGAGCTCTCCTGTTCGTTTTGGAAGCTTTAAAATAAATTCCAATAATATCCTCGTCCTCCAACTCCAACTCCTTGTGAGTTGTATGAGGATCAAGAGCTGTACTATTGCAGTAAACACCAAGTATCAGCGAGACTATTAACGTCTCCTGTTGGTTTTGGAAACTTTGACATGAACTTCAATGATATCCTCGTCCTCCAATTCCAACTCCTTGGGAGTTGCCTGAGGATCAAGAGCTCTACCGTCAAACCGGAAGGTAAAGTTGGAAACAGGTCGCTTGGCAAACTTCTCCGCAAAAATCATGAAAAGCTTTTCCAACTTGTCATCCTGTCAAAACAAGTGAACAGAAGCATTCAAGAAAGGGAGAATGATATCACGCTTAAATTCACATTCTGATGCTCGAGTAGATAGATGGAATATTGGTGCATTCGGAGCCAAGGCAACGTAACAAGAAAGAGGTGTAGGAAAATAAACTAACCAGGTACAATTTAACCGGGTGTGTCTTTCCATCTTGTTCCTGTAGTTGTAGAACAATTTTCTCTCTTGAGTTGTGGTTATTATCATTGTTAGAACTGTTAGCATTCGAAACGACTGACGTCGGTTCAGCGGCAGCAAGTTCGGCTTTTGCCTCCAATTCGGCACTTTCCGCTGCCATCTGTGCTGATAGCATAAGAAGTTCTTGTTTCTGCCGCCTGAATCCACACAAACGAAGAAACTCATTGAAACATCACATTAACTAGATCACATACGCGGCTCCTTCTTGTCGTTGTTCCACTACATGATCAAAGATATAAAGTCATGCATCTCACCTCACTTTGAGTATATGAGGATCTTCATTCAGAGTGATGCGGACGACAGGATTTCTGACGGGAGGTGCCAGCCAATCATCGTCATTGTCGACCTTCTTCACCACGGTCGTTGGATTGGGCTTCTCGATATTACCTTGCACAGACTAAGTTTTAAGTATAAATGTCAAGTGCTATATATTGACTTGGTACAAAACAACCAGCTCGAGGACATATACCATGTCAAATCCACGTAATTAAGAAAAGAGAGAAAGGGATCAATGTCTTTTCCAGAGCGTAGACAGCAATAAACTCACCCGCAGTGCTCCTCTACCTGACGAACGTCGTCTTGTCTTGACCTCAATCTTGTCTATAATATGCTGGTCTTCATCATCGCTATCTGTTGGTCATATATGAACATTATTTTGTTACGACTTGAATGATAACCCCCACAGGTACTCTCCTAATTTAATTTTGGAAGAAAAAATGTCCACGGTTCACAAAATGCCATTTCTCCAAGTATTCCGACTTACCTTCAAACACAATAGTCGGCACAGACCTGGAGTAGTCAAAAAGTGCATCCAGTCCATCGTCCTTCTTAACCTGCGATACAGGTAAAAAAAAAAGTCTGATTTACAATCTATCTGAGAAATAATAATTTCAAAGTGAAGAAACAATTGGATCAACGGTTGAAGAGACTGGAACTTCAACCTCCTGCTACAAAGTTTATGTGCAGAGGTATTTCTGAAATGCAAGGAAATATTCGGAGTTCGCGCTTCAGGGCAAGAACTCTTGAGACGAATTCTTCACCCTCATGTGGCAAGAATTCTGTGCACGCGGTTCATGGAAAATTCAGCAGGGTGTTGTTATCCTGCCTACAAGCCATCGGCTGAGCAACGAAACTCCATCACTGCCAAGACTGGATAAAAGTTCCCTACCAGTTTGCGCGCCGGGGGATTCATAACTGCAGAAAATTCTCTGGCGTTGCCGGCAACGTCCTTGCGCAAAGTCGATTACCAGAAAGCCAAGATGAAGCCTACGAAAGACTTTTCGCCTCCCTGTGCAAAAACTCACAGGCTCTACTCGCCCCACCAACCTCTGGGAATACAAGCTGCCTCCGAAAACCAAATTCTGACGTTGAATCGTTTAAGATGCCACTTCCCTACGATGGGCCTCTAATATTCTGATTCAACACATTCGAACGCGGAGACGCAGCGGGACTCTCCTCACTCACATCACCTCGTATCACTGGTTACTCTGCACCCACCAAAAACCCAGCAGCATATGTAGCTCATTCTCGGCATCGGGACTTGCTTCGAGATGATCATCAACTAGAGCACGGCGCAATAATTTCACCCACCCTCATAACAATCCTGTCCTGCCACGCAATCTCTGCTGCCTTCTCAGACGTCCTGTTCTTCGAGAGAGCAAAAGATCTTCGCCCCGTGACTCTTCTTGGCTCACGCATTTGACTGCGACTGTGACAGTCTCGATGGCTTGTCCAAATCGCTCGTTCTCTGTCAGCGGACGTGGATTTGCAACGTCGAGTTGTCGCCCACAGATCCAAGAGATTCGGAATCCGGATCAATTTCTCATTCAAATTTCTAAGATACCGGGACAACGTGTGTGCCAGGCTCCAGAGTTAGGGTTGCCGCAGGAAGTCGGGAGTAACAGATTTGCGCTAAAAGGCCATTATTGCACTTTACTTTAGTTAAGCAGGGAATGGTTCCCGCTAATTCGCGTGTTAGGACCGGGAACTGTGTTGGACGGAAGAAGTTTAGTGGGCGTAATCAAAGACTTTGATCAAGACAACGGTCACAATCATGTAAGAGGACTGAAAAGTCAGTGCGGGCCGTTTCGTTTCGATTACTTCCGTTCTCTCTGTGCTCTCTGGTCGGCTTCGCTGACTCGTGACAGATGCAGTCAATCCGAGGATTCCATGACCCTGGCATGTGACGTGTCCGTCTGCGGGTTTGACCTCGGAGAGTTTGACCGTCAGTTACATTCATTGTCCGGAGTATCGTTCTCTGCAAAGTCACACGACAGTATGGAGATGGTTGGAACAAGGCGATAACTCGACGATCTGGATGAGGGTTTTCAACGGTCTGTCCTGGTGATCATTTTACGAACAAGCACAAGCACAAGCACAAAGGCTGACCAAACGAAATCAGACTCTCCACGTCAGATCGCCTTCCAAGTCAGCAGAGCCGCCACGTCACCGAAACCGCAATTCGACTCATTGCGATCGAGAAACACCAGCCAGATGTTGAGGTGCTCGTTTCTCGTCGAGGAGGAACGGCCATGGTGCTCAGTAGCTCACGAAATTCTCAATTTCCAGAGCGAAGTGGAACCAGTGCACGGTGCGTTTCCGGGTAGTGTTGCCGAAAGCGGTCTCGCAGACTCTTTTTGAGGATGTAGCTGCGTGGTTCTACTGGCAATCAGGTCCAGCTTTACGTGAGTCAGACTCGCGTTTCTGGCTTTCCTCACTAAATCGAATTGGGCCAATCAGTCAATATCTCTGTCCGTAGTTCTGGATACTGTTCCCGGCAGTACGGGTTTGTCTCAGATACCGGGGCGAACGCTCTTCCGACAAATGCCTACGTCAAGCTGAGGAGACGATCTGCAAGCGACGAGAAGCGGACTTTGGTTCCGAATCTGAATGGTAGGTGCCACCATATTTCCATCCGAGGTGACCTATGCCTATGTACTTTGACGTGTCTGGATATTAGGCTTGGTTTAAGTGAATGGTGTGAAAGAATGCGCAATTGAATCTTTATGTGCAAGACAGCGAGTTGTCACTCGACTTCAGTAATTCATTGTTCGTTTAATTTGAGATTCAGTCGCCGTGGGAGAACTCGATGGATTCCTAGAGAGAGAAGCAGTTGATCGAGGCTTGTGGACCAAAACTGTTGACAGTGCTGCAAGGCGTGAGCGAAGAGGGAGCTGAATCAAGAGCGGAGCGGGGAGGGCCTGCAATGCAGCATCACCTCCAGTGAAAATGGACGGCAGGATCTCGAAAATCGTCCGCTGAACATTCACGCCAACGCAGGGTCTCCCAGCACAGAGACACAGAGATGGCGATGTCGATCGCCGCGTTGACGAACGGGTTGGCAGGTGGTGGTGGATGCGCATGCTGCTGTGATTCGAGCGTCCCCAGTTGCATGCTTTCCAAACCTCTGCGGTCGGTGCTGCTGCAAAAGTTTCCAAGCTCTGGCATTCGTGCCCGGGCTCCTCCTGCTCCTCTGAGCCTCTCCTCCCGCTCCTCCAACGGTCTTCCGAGACGTTGTCGAGGCCCAAGGAGTGCACTGGACGACGCTGACTACGAAGCGAGGGACAACTCACCGAAAAAAGCCGAAGAAGGACCGAATGCTCGACCGCTTCCAGGGTACAAGAAACCCGATAAACCCCGAGGCGCGCAGAATGCTCTATCCCGAGCTCTCGCTTACAGACAGGCGAAGGAATCGGCTGAATCATCCGGCACCGTCAAGAAGGTTGACAAACCGCCGGCACCAGAACGTCCCAAAGACGTGCCAGAGGTTGAAATTTTCAGGGGCCAGAATTTTCAGTCGAGGTTGCAGCCTTCCGAGGCCAGTCCATCATCGTCTGACGGTGCATCGCCATCCTCCGTCTCGGATCCGACTCCTTCAGCCGCCTCGGCTGAAGGTGATGGCGAGACAGCATCGAAAGCTGGGAGTAATGAGGCAAGCCCATCGGAGGGGGAGACCGTTTCACAGGCCAGACTACAGGGTCCGAGTGCACTCACTCTCGACATTGGGAAGGTCATAGAAGAGAAGCTGGGCGCATCATCGGCGTCGAAGATTGATGCTAACACTAAAAAACCGGAGCAGCGAACGGCTGAAACATCTCCTGATGATGGAGGGGCGAAGTCCTCTGCGTCTCTAGATGCGTTTATGAAGGCTCAGGCTTATAAAAAGCAGCAGCAGGAAATGACTGCCGCTCTGAAAGAGAAAGTAAGCGAGCCAACCGCAACAGTTACCAGCTCGAGCTCGAGCTCGAGTATCAGTGCCAGTGCAACGGGCTCTGGGTCTGGAGAGAATTTAGTGGAGGTGGAAATCGTAACCAGAGACGGGGTGATTAGGAAGTTGGTAAATCCGGAGAAAGCGTTCACGAATGTGAAAGAGTTTCGGAGGACGGGAGTATCAAGTATAGATTTCGCCGGGCTTGGATTTGCAGACAAGAAGCAGGGTGGCAGGACGGTGGTTCGCGAGGACTATCAGGCCCCTCCCCCCGGAGCTCTTCCAGAAGTCGAGATCCTCACCAAAGATGCCGAGCCTGACGCAGTAGACGGTGAAGAGAGCGACCTGTACAAACCACGAGTATCTACGTGGGGAGTCTTTCCCCGACCTGCTGACATCTCCAAAGCTGTAATTTCTCCCCCCTCCCTCCTCTTTCTTCTCTTGCCTTGCTGCCCTCCCTCGTTGCAGGCTATTTGTGATGCTCTTTTCTTTTTCTCCTTTTTTATTTATTTATCTGCATGACCTGCCAAAATCTTTACAATGGGGTCCTCATCTGCATTACTGCACCGCTTGACTATTGTGGGTTCGGATTTTTTGGGTAATGGCGACCACAATCGCCAGTACGGAGGTGGCAGGACAATCAGACCCGGAGACACTTTGGAAACGGAAGAAGAGAGGATAGCTCGCGAGGCTAAAACACAAAAACTGCTGGCTGATTATAAGAAGAAGATGGGGCTGGATGTAGACCCCCGACTCAAGGCCGAGTGCGAGATGGTATGTTGCACCCGTATATTCACTAGTCCTATTCCTATTCCAGTCCATGACTGGTCTGATCTGTGATAGATATCACACAGACTGCAGTAGATCAACCTAATGAATAGACATAAGGTTCAGCCTCTGCTGTCATTACAACACATGACGCATGTGTTCACAGTACTCGTGAAGTTTGCGTCTGGAAGTTACACCACTGAAGATGACCTGAAATGCGATGTTGACAGATTATGAAACGAGGTGCCAGCCTTATGGACAGCGGAGATTTGAAAGGAGCCCTTGTACTCTTCGAAAGCGTGATGGAGAAGATGACGTTCCAGGTAAAATTTACTTGGCCTTGCATGTACTAGATGGACAAGAGGTCGCATTGCCGAGCTCGGAGTTGTGCACTCTGAAACCACATTCAGGTCCGTTTTATAACGAAGTAATTGATGCAGAGCGAACTTCATGGTTTGGCAGCTCTCCAAGGTGCAATATGTCTCGACTCTTTAGCCAGGTGCCCTAAACTATCACGCTCATCTGGTGTTTTTCCCTTGATCCTCAAATTTCTCTTTCTACTTGCTGATCTGAAGAAAATGCTCATCATTTTTCTTCCTCAATGTCTGCTTGAACCATCAAAGAGCAGGTTTTAATACCATTGTGCTGGCAATGTCTGGAAAAAACTTTGCTGACGTTAAGATACTTGTGGCCGGCAGGTTCAATGAAGCGAGAGAAACTTACGAAAAGCTTATTTCTCATCCCAACGGGAAGATCCGTAAGCAAGCAAAGCAGCTACTCTATGGATTTCGGGTGAGTCCTTTCTTTCATGCGTGATATTTATTTTGCTCCAGTCATCTTTTCTGATTCTATCTGAAGCCGCCTTTAAGTTTAGCAAGTTTTCGATCCTCTAACGAATCGCTTAGAATAAATCTGTCGAGCAATGCTCGTTCGAAATTACTCGCCAGTTTTGTCGTGAAACTGTCCATCAAATCCGAATCATTTCAAACGGAGATAATTATGCTTTTGGTTTGATCGACCAAGGAATTCCAAACTGCATGGTTAAGTTTTTCTATACTAATGCATGAAGTCAAGTCGGGTCAATCAGATAAACATGGTAAGTGAAGGAGGAAGAGTGGAACACAGTAGATTGATGACGGTGGTGTAGCTATGGAAAGCGTCAGGACTCGAATTCGACCTCTCATCTTCACTAACGTGTGTCTCATGGCGTAGTCGCTAGTGTCAAATCGTATTCGGTGTCTGACCGGAAAGAAGAGCATCAGAAATATCATGCTAGGCTTTGCATATGAAGCAAGTGTCAAGTATTTTGGTCAAAATAATACATCACTTTTTTGATGAAGACAGTAATGCTGCAAAGCTACAGATTGTTTCAGTCAAACTCAGAGAAACATTGATCTGATCAGAAGCAAGAGAAAGAAATTGTATGCTCCCCTTAACAGAAACTTGAGAGGTTTGAATCTATTGAAATCTAACCAGCCTCGCTTAGTCCCTTATTTTCTTTTGGGATCTCAATCGCATGGTCATTGCACGTAGACTTTGAGACTTTTGAGAGTTTCCATGATTACATGTGAGCTTGCTAAGCACTCTTGATTTTCATGGTTGTTCATTCTTCCAAAATCCAGTAACCCAGAGGTTCTCACTCGCCTGCCTGCTTACTCATGCGCTGATCTCTCAGGCCATGGAGAACTTGAAGGTGTCGACATCCAACAAATGGGATACCAGCGTTTACGCGAAATATTTTGAGGCTTTCTCAGATGGGTACAACAACAATTATAAGGCCAGTGAGGACGAAACATCAAACGATAAACTCATGGAACAAACGCTGGCTTACGCTTTGTTGCTCTTTTTTCCCATTCTCTTGGTGGTCGTTCTAGCTCTATCCAGAGGAGCTAGCTAGCTCTTGAATTCCGTTCGCGGACCGAGATCCGGTAAGAGCAGTGTCAATTGCTCCCTCGGATCATATTATTATCCGTCCAAGATCTGTTCCGACCATCGAAAGTGTCCAAGGCCGGATGGATGACTCACCAAAGTCTATGGTGAGTGCAATGAAGAACTCAAGCGTCTGCTGAAAACGAAGAGTTCGAGTTGTACAGTTCCTCGCTCGCTTGCAATTCGAGAAACCACGAAAATCGGCACACGCTTGTTCTATCTCTCACCGGTACCTGCAAATGTCCAGGGACAACTGTGTCGGACCCTAGGCCATTTCCCAACTTGAGCTATCTTCTTCTCTTGTCAGCACCTAAATTTGATGCCTAATACTGTGGCCACAGCCTAAACTCCTGGTCTCAAGTCTTTAAAGCCATGTAACCTCGGCGACTGGACAAGTACTGCTCATATCAGGAATTTCTTCTTGGGGTAGCAAAGTGCCTGGGTACTGCCTATGGTGATGGAGACGTGTTCTCGATTCTCATTTTCATCTAGGTGATCTGAGTCTACATTTCACATCTGCCCACATAGAGACTTCTCTTCAGGTCAACAGACATTTTATGCTTCTGGGAGTCGGAGTGTAATTCCTCCTGTGAGAGAACTACCAGAATCATAAGATTCCAACGTTTTCTCCACAATTTTTAGGCGTGGATTTGTCCATGAGAGGGCAGTGGACATGCATGAGTAGGAACAAACACGAAAGCTCTGTGTATCTTTAAGGCGGAAAGAGATCGAATAAACCTGCTCCGAGCCACGTTGGGGTTCTCTTCTCGGCCTCGAGAGGATAAACGGAGTTTGCCACTGCATATAGAATACGTAGGAGTATCTCTTAAAAAATGCAGCGCAAGAAAAACATCGGAGTGTATTGTTGTCTGGCGGAAGATATCTACTATCGTTGTGTTATAGCTGTAATAGTTGTCTAAAACCTCACTGCGACAGACATGACAGAGGACGAGTCTTCAAGTTCACAGCCTGCCAAGGCGTTGTATTCGGCAGCCATAACCCATAGAGATTACGATTCATCGAAAACACACGGAGTACAGACCCACGGGGTAGAGAGGATGTGGTTTGACATAAGATTCATGTTGATTCTTGGTAGTGGAAAGTACAGATCGATCCTTTATAGACGAATGTATCTATTACATTAACTCCAGATTGTATTGATGAAAGCAGCAGGTCGTTTGATGTTTGGATGCTGATTTTGTCTGTAGTGGCTCTTCAGACCGTTTGTTGACAATGTACATGACTAGAATGTGTAGTCTAAATCTTCCTAGCATGACTATGAATGAGTGTGACATGTGCATGCAATAGATTACCTAAAATGGTTTCTCGTGTAGTGCTCACCCCAAGTTAGCCTACTAGCTCATGTGGAATTGGTATGAGTTTTAAGTTACTTGCAACCGCTAAATGATGTATTTCTTAGTTGTGTTATTCAAAATTCTAGACATTAAAGAATCATATGAGTCATGTGTGACATTGTGGTATAGATTGTTGATGATGATGATGCTCTGATGTTGTTCTTATAGTGCATGAGGGTTTCTCACAAATTTTTACATATATATTGACTTTAATTAGAACTAATTATATGTTTGGGAAGAGAAGATGGGTAAATTAGCTGTAATATTTCCATTGGCCATTTTGAAGATCACATACGCTTCCAAGTATTTGTGCTGGATAAAAAGAAGTTGCTTAATATGATGTTATGGTGAGAGCATTGTTAGTCTTATAAACTTTTACAACTTAGAGTTTTAGATGAAAAAAATGTACTATATTGCAGTGCAAACTATTATTGTGTGATGTTCTCTTCTGATGCACTTCTCCTGTTCATCATTTTCATGAATAAGAAACAACCAGGTGAAATGCTAAGTTCACTCAAAACACAAGTTGAAATGATATTAAGATATTGAACAACACACTGCACTACCACCTTGAAAAAAATGCAGCTCCATTAACATAATTTTATAAAATGCAGTATAGTAATCAACAATCAAGATCTATAACCAGGCCTGCTTATAATAGGCGTTTAGAATTTTTTGTGCCTAAATTTCCTAAAGTAATTCTTGTGAGTTGCCTAAATTAAGGTCCTCACGCACCATGGCCATATCCCCAATAGATTGTTATTGTTCCAAGTTTAATGTTGAAGAACAAGTGCAACTCTGCCTACGTCAAGCCAAATGATGCTAAATATCGTATCTAGCATTTACAAGGCTCATAGACAGAGCTTTGACCTATAACATCGATACTTGGAGACACATAAAGATTTCATTGCCGACTACTATAAAGCTATTCTTCGAGTTTACCTAATTGATGGTTGTAATCAAAAGACATCCTTTGACAATGCTTGGATCTTACACCGTGCTTGGTTTCCAAACTTGGTCGAGTTTTGCATCGTTATTGTAACTATATTTCATGGAACGAGTTTAGTGGAGTCTGACTTGTCTGTTTGAAAGGGTGGGAGAAAGGTGATATAGCAAGAATCTTTCACACTTTGGACTGGCGAAGCAATATATACAAATGAGGCACTTGAGGATTGTTATAACTAAGGAGCAACCTCACATCTTGATTACCTATCAATTGATTGATCGGTAATACACATATTGTTTCACGAATAAAATTTCTAATTCTCGTTTATTGGCCTTCAATCTAGACTTAATGTGCCTACCGGCTAAATTAATTTTATGGTAGGCACATGAAAATACCCATATACGCCTATATGAAACTAATTTAGATACTTTAGGCAATCGCCTATTATAAGCAAGCCTGTCTATATCTGTATCAAAGTCAACATTAAAGAAATCTAGAAGGACAATCTATATAATCTCTTCCCGGATTAGCATGAAAGATGAGTAAGAGTCTATTATGGAAAATGATTATGAGTTTATGTAGAGTAGTTGATAAGTTGTGAAATTGATTGATGCTGTTTTGAAAAAAAATAATTACCTCTTTTTCCAAAGTGAGAATTTCATACTTATCTGTTGAAGCTGTAAAGAAAAGAGAAAGATAATACTCTTGACATTTTGCATTATAATTTGCATAAGTTCAAAACATGTAAATTTGACAAACAATAACACGTTCACACGAATAACGGACTCGCCCGTTACGGATCTCATCACCCTACGAAATTCGTAAATATTTGTAGTTCGCTTATAATGTTCGTTCTTTTTGAAACATAATTACTTCACAAGTCTTCATTCTTACAAGGTATATGCTGCAAAACAGGCATAGTGGTATTTTGATTGCCTGACTTAGGAAATCATCAATTTTATGGAAATCCTGAAAGGTTTATTGCCAATATAAAAGTTATTTTTCTTACCGCATACATTTTAACTCTTATTGAATCCAATGGGATAGAATTGTACAATTAATGATCACTGCATACTTGAGTGAGGATGTTTATATTGGAGTTTTTGACGATACTTATCCAGCACAATTACTTGGAACACTGGGAACAACGACCTGCACGGTGAGAAGTCTCAGTCGTACACGAAGATCGTTTATATTATGAGTCACTTCTGTCCAAACCAAAGCAAGCCAAATCGGTCTGAAAATGAAATAATCTAATGATTTCCACGATTAGCTCGTGAATTTCGACGCTGGAGATTTTCAAAGTCACCCGTGCCGATCTAATAATCTAAACGAGAGAAGATTTCTTCCAATTCGTGGAATGATTGACGAGAGATACACCTATGTGAAGTATCGTAACCTCAAGATGTATGTGGACAAGAGTCGAATTCTTGCAGAAAACCAAACTCGTTGTGCTTGCTCACCTCAGGCCAGATGTCGATTACATCTCTACCTCGATATCGGAAACAAAACTGGCCCGGGCCCATCCTGCGTCTCGGTCCACGTATATAATCTATGGCATGTGAAACGACGGTAGGAATGTGCAGTATCAACCAAGGATTCAGGGTTCTCCGTGTTCACTAATCTACTTTCCAGTTTCGGGAGAGACGGCCTCTATAATCCAGGAGACCTTCAGCAACGACACGTAGGTGCAGTTTCAATCAAGGTCTGGCGAAAGAGCTGCCACTCACCGGATCTAGCCTCAATAGATGACTCGCTCTCCATTCGTCCATCGTATTGTGCTTCTCAGGTTTGTTCAGGCTTCCCTCACCCTCAAGTTTTCCGGAATTTTTAGCGATCAGTGATAGTCTCAGTCCTGATGGTTAACATTAGATGGAGATACCTGGATTCTATGAAACTGAAAGTAAGAACACAAACAATGCATTCTAAACTCGTATGAAGAGCAGTGCATTTCGAGCTCACTATTAGTCGGTGCTACGTGTCGGCGCTCTGTGTTTTGGAGATAATTTACTGAATCCTCTACATTGCAAAAGGAAGATATATACTTTTGAAACTGGTTCCAATGATAATAAGCGGGGCTATTGAAACTTCAAGTCCTACTACTTTCTCTTTCATTCCGCTCTCCATGTCAACATCAACATTCAGAGTATGAAGATCATCAGAGTATAAGACTTACCTGTCCTCAATCGAAATTTGCACTAAAAATCGAGAATACAGGGAAGAGCAAACTGTGCGCAGTCACAGGAACATGAATGTGAAGCCCGATGACTCCAAGCGTTCGTAGATGCGGATGTCGCAGCCCCAAAGAAGTGTAATCATACCATATAGAAAGAATGACGCATTCAATTTATCTGAGTTGCCGGACAGCATGAAGGTCCAAGTTCCCTGCATCAATTAGAGAAGAGCATCCTCGAGCCATGAGGAGTGCAGTCGACTACCTATCGACTCTGAGGCAAGTGCTGCCACGTTAAAAAGGAATAATTCGTCGTCGAAACGCACGCACTGCCCAATACAAGCAGGAATCGGAGCTTCTCTAAAGGAATATGCTGGAAGGAAAGATGCGGGATCGGTGGCCTCTTCGTAGGGTCTTCGGGCTGCACATGTAACGTAGGAGCAACCGTCTACTTCCCAGGAAGAGAGTCAGGATCACTTACGCTGCGAAAGAGCAAGGAGGAACGCAAACTCTGATCTCAGCAAGTTGACTTTATGAAAAGATATCGCCTTTGAAGGCCGGGTACCGAGAAAATAAAAGGAAATAAGCAGCATTCGCGACATAATTCTCCCACGGAGACAATTGGCCTACGTGACGGAGATAGTACGTGTGAGAAACAAAAAAAATGCTGCACGTGTAAGTTGAGCCAACTTCCTTCGAAGCCAATCACAAGAAACTGTCTCGGGTGGCTGAGCACGAGGACAAAAGGACGGCCTCCGTGCGGCCGGGTCAAATAGGATCTTTGAATTCACCGATTCTAACGCCCCGACTATTGTTTTCAACCCCTTCCTCAGATCCTCGTCGCAACGGAATGTGAGGTTTTACAAATTAGACCTATTTTTGGGTATCGTGAAAAGAAAAATACTGATATGAAAACAAGGTGAAGACAATGTTAAAGCTCACGGTCTTGACGAGTCAATCATACTCGAGACTTTATAATCTACCGTGGTGCACATGCTGCTGATGCTTCTACACCCACTTCAGCTAGTTACACAGCACATGCAATTGATTGGAGATCCACAGACTTATATTTAGACGTCCAATCGATTACGAATATGTGCTCGAATCTGCACGAGTGACTGTAAATTATGATGGATTTTTCGATATGGTCTTCAACGCCAACTTTCGGTCTGGTTTCGCACTCAACCAAGTTCTATGGTTTTCGTCAGCTCTGAGGTCGATTTTAGTATTATCGCACATTCTCCTCATGCCTGAAGATTCCGTAAAGCGATGGGCTTCGCCGCCTCATGGAGTTGGTAAGGTGAACATAAATGTGTGTGAAGCTTTTTACAGTGTGAACACCTATACAGTAATACATGGATCTCGTAATACCGAACAACTAATTTTGGAGAGTTGAGAGTATGAATTCAAGACAACAATGATTATGTAAATGTGTGTGTCTCTCTCTGTGTGTTTAGTAGAAAATTCTATAAAATTTCCTCGATAAACCTGTTGCCTAGCCTGTAGAAAAGTTGCCAGGCCAACAGAGAATCAGTATCCTCCCAATGAACTTCGCAGTAAAGTACCTGATCAATCTATCTGATCTTAAAGGTGAGAATTTGGTAGTTTCCATCTATATGTGCCATATAAAGATTTAAAAATACTTATACCATTATATCATATTTTTTATACATCGACTTTGTTTCATTATTATTCTACAATCCCACTGTGGTTTTCATCGTCAAATAGATGATGTTATAAAAAATGGAAGTAATTTGGTACTTCTCTATCGATTTTTCCACATCCAAGATGCACAGCACATGATCATGTTATAATGTACAAAATGAAGGACATTTTGACTATTGTCTCAGAAATTCTAGTTATGATTTCATACCTCACAATTAAATTGTTTTCGTTAAAGTGTTGAATGATCGTCATCACTCCAACTATCACATCTTCTCATTACTTGACAAATTCACATTTACCTTTGGAGGTGAATAGACACACACAATAGTAATGTTTCTTACAGCAGTGGGAATTATACCTTTCTCGGAATGTTATATCGTCACAAACCGTTGACGGGTTTATTTCAGGCATTCAACAGTTAGCAAGTTTCACCCAAAAATACTCTCATAAACAGGATCCAATCGGAATAGTACAATTAGCACAATTCTACAAAATAGCGAAAGTGAGAGAATAAGGGAGAGAAAGTAGAAGAAGAACTCAAGTGTACTTTTTGGCGTAGATGGAGACATGAAGTCATAGATGGTATGATTTCCGTTGACCAGCCCACCTTATGGTCTAGTCTATCAAGATTCTCATCTCCCTTGCACCCGAAATATCATGCAACGCGCCTTGCATATATGAAACGGAAGAGCTATTTTCACGGCTATGGAGCCCTACCCAAGCAAGGATATTAGAGCTTGAAGTGCGCAGATACAAAACATTTTACAGGCTAGTTATATGCACAGAGGGGGCGTGAGTTTTGTACAGAAGTTGCATGGAAGGAGACTTAGATTCTTCTTGATTCTTCTTCTGAAGTCACAATTCCTTAAAAAGACTTGCACATGCATCTCTTGATCTTACACACACAAAAAAAATCAGGAGAAAGAAGCTCATGCTTTGAAACATTAATCGGGAAAACTAAGCTTTTGAAAGTGTCCTCAAGCTTTAGTTTCAGTACTTTGAGATGACGGCGTCCTTTCGTGTGTTTAAGGCATGGAGTTGGTTGCAGGCATGGCTCGCTTTCCCGCAAGCGATTTGAGAAGGAACTTTTCATTGCAACCAGACCGAACAAGCGTGATGCCACGTCCAAGCCCTCTACACTTCCTCGATCTATCGATGGATCGGTCGATCACAGCATGCTCAGCCGAACCAAACAGTCCAACCAACCAATCATGCACGCTGGGTGTAACCAGCAACGCAGGGATGTGGAATCAATTATTTCCAACCAGCGATGCACATATCTTCAACCATAGTGTTCATAGTTCAATCTGTCGCATCCCGTAAATTACACGAAGAAATACGAGAGCTGAACACGTGCCGCTGAAAAAATCCCAGCCATCTGAACAAGCTCAGAGTTCAACTTCCGTCATGCCGATGATGTACCGTAGGTCTGGACGGGACCTTCGCCGGGGGTCTCTTCCGATCGAATTTTCGTAGCGCTGCTCGACAGACGCTGCAGACAGAACACATCTCGGTTAACGTGTATGGAAGCAGCGCCGGATGGAACGGATATCACAATATCCAAATTTAGAAACCCGTTACCTGAACCCAAGGTCCCACCCGACAGAGCGACGACTCCCGTCCGTTACAAAAGGGGCGGTATCCACTGGAAAACCACAACACGAATGCGAGTCCAGAGTCCGCTGCCACCGGTGAGTCGGTGGGCGACTCATCCTTTCGTCCACCTGCCAGCCCGCCCGCCCGGAGTGTAGCCGGGAAAAGCAACCGGACGCGACTGGACGCAGGGGAGAGACAGGGCAGAGGAGTTGACAGTAGGAGGGGTAGCAGTAGGAGTTAAGCCGCGACATGAATCCGTACATGGAGGAAGTGGAACAGGGGCACGAGGTCACGAGCAGCGATGACAGAGAGACCGGACGAGTTGAGCTGAGCCGAGGCGAGGCATCCGAGTCGGTGGAGACAGACACAGACAGACAGAGAAAGGGAGAGAGATAGAGAGATAGAGAGAAACAGAGAGTTTTTTTATCCGACACGAGCGACTCAAACCCGCCCTGGGATGTCGGCAACACGGCGATCATGGCGACAATAGCATTCGAAACTGCAGCCTCCAGAGTCTCGGCCTCGCTCATGTTAAAGTCCGGTTTTAGCCGGTGTAAGTCCCCATTCGCAGTCCTTCTCTCTTCTTCCTCTGCGGGACTGACGTCGTCCGCCCCGAGCTCTCTTTCTGCTGCTCCTGCTGCTGCTTCGTCTGTCAGTGGCCTGCGATCTGTTGCTACCGGCAGATCTTCCCCCTGTCTTCGTCCTCGACACTGTTCTTGGGGATTGAAGGTCTCGGACCCTTCTTCTTCTTCCAGCGAGGGAGGAGGAGGAGGACGACGCAGGGGCCTGATGTCGGCTGCGGCGATGAGTATGGAGGTGGAGCAGATGGATCCCGTGCAGCAGCGGTTGATGTTCGACGATGAGTGAGTGTTGTGTCTCCGTGGTGTGGATCGATCGGGATGGGATGGGATGTTCTTTCGTGTCATGGATTGTAGCGGCATGGGCATTGAGGTGGGGGCTAGGGGATGCGCTCTTCAGTGATTTGAGGAATGGCGTTGTTGATGTGGCGTCGTTTGGTTTCTGTGAAGGTGTATTCTTGTGGACGAGCAAGATAATGTCGTCGGGCATGACTCCAAATATAACTGTGAGTATGAATTTGTCAGGGCGTCAGCCTTCTTCACATGCGATCAAGAAGCTTGCGAGGGTCGGGTCAGCGCCTCGGAGGTGGTTTCTCTGACTTGTGTATTTCCTCCGGGTCCTGTCCAGGTCACCTGATGGAGAAGATCGAGAAGGACAATTTGCTGCACCGCGCCTTCAGCGTTTTCCTTTTCAACTCCAAGAACGAGCTACTTTTGCAGGTCGGTAATTTTGTGTCGACTCTGAGCGGATTGTCTGTCTGATTGGTTTTCTCGCCTGCGTAGTGTGCAAGTTTTGAATCCATTCTCAATTTCTCTTCCTAGTGTCTTTGAAGAATCTAACTTGGAGTGAAGTCCACTGGAATGTTCGTCTCCTGAGCAACTGTGGGTAACACACTTAAGGAGATGATTAAATTTGTAGGTTGTCAGCTGATCGGCCTTTGAGGAGCTAATTGGTAGTATTTCATGCTTGCTTGACAGAAACGGTCTGCTACCAAGGTGACTTTCCCTCAGGTTTGGACCAACACTTGCTGCAGTCATCCCCTTTATCGGGACAGTGAATTGATCAAAGAAAACAACTTGGGTGAGCATACTGTCGTCATATTAATTTGTCACGAAACAAGCGAGCTTTTCAGTTCTCTGGATGTCTTTGAAAGCCCAGAATTGGCATTTCCCAAGTTCTCTTGACGTTCGTTCCTTTTCACATCCTTCATAATTCTCATGAGGCTTTCTGCCAATCTCCAGGTGTAAGAAATGCCGCACAGAGGAAGCTTTTCGATGAGCTGGGTATTGAAGCAAAAGATGCTCCAGTCGATGATTTCACTTGTCTTGGGCGAATTTTGTACAAAGCCGCCTCAGATGGCAAATGGGGAGAACATGAATGTATGTCCCTCTTTCTAATTTCTTGTCAGTGCAATGCCTGAACGTTACTGAGTTTCTGTCTTCTTCCGGTTTTTCCTCTCCGGATCGTTCACTTTTAGTTAATAAACAGAATAGTGTCTGTCTAGGAAGCCCTTCCCATACTTTATTTTATAAAAATTGCTGAAAGGGTTTAAGGGCTTTGAGAGTCAATTTTGAACGAGTATCTACGTTGTGTTGTCTTCCGATTGCGCTCATAGGCCGTTGCTCGTTGCTTTTCTTGCTGCAGTGGACTATCTCCTCTTCATGAAGAGAGACGTGGCAGTGAAGCCGAATCCAGACGAAGTTAGCGACGTACAGTACGTCACTAAAGAGCAGCTTCAGGAATTGGTAAAGAAAGCAAAGGCAGGCGAAGGCGGAGTGAAGCTTTCTCCATGGTTCCAGCTTGTAGTAGAAAACTTTCTGTACGACTGGTGGAAGAAGTTAGAAGAAGGTACTCTGGTGGAGTCTGCCGACATGAAAACAATCCACAGGCTTTAGATTTATTCATCACATACTCGGGAAGAGGTCTCGTGCAACAGACTAGCCTCGTAGAAAAGTGTTAGAGCCGGATTCTTCAGCCCTTCCCCTAAATAACATTCGTCCTGATTCGTTCTCATTGCTAGAGCCAATGTTCATCTAGAAAGATTGAAATGATGTACACTGAACGCAATGAAAGGCACGATGTTCGAATCACTGTTCTTCAGTTGAATGCCTTTGCCCGCAGTGAACTATCGTCATTCTGATTTCAGGAACCTCATTCAAGAGCGTCCAGTCAGTCAAGCCTGACCTTAAGAAAATCAACTAAGAGTGTTATGATCTAGAAAGTTGTGTCCATTCACATCACCTTCTGACGTGTTTCTTTGATGCCAAACTCATTTTGTTTCAAATGTATGATGTCAACTGGACAACTTTCATCTTGAGTATTTATGTTAATAATGAGCCTTTTGCCCGTATCTGGTGATTTGGATTGAGTTGGGATATGATGCGCGAACCAAAGTTTTGCCTCAAATCCGTATACATCAGCTACGTCATATTTCAGCATACGAAAAAGTTGGGTACGAACCGTCTTAGACTGTTGAAACAGGAGTGCTAACTCGTAACTACAGCCATGTGCCGACGTTTGGAAGGGTTGAAATGCTTCGTTGTTGCGTCTTATCTAGAAGATTTATGCCCATGTCAGCGGCTATTCACATTTTATGAATACGCCTGCAACTAAAACGATGACTGGGAGATTAAGGGAGTGCTGACAGTACGACGATGTATTGTTCTGCATACGCTACGAGCCCAACGACGACACCTTTGAACTGAAACACACGAAGGTCTCCTCCACTATTTGTCCCTCTTAAAACAAGTGAATTGTACTCACAGTATAGAACGTTGTGTGGAGTGTTTCGTATGACGAGAGCTCATCTTATCGACCAAACAGCGAACTTTCTCAGTGAGTGTTAACCAATTTTGAGCCTCTCTTGATTCCTTATCCCATGGGTTCTTGTTGTTTTGTTGTCAGCTTGTTCTCTATTAATGGTTCCCATCCTGTTATCAACCATATTTTAATGGTTGGTCTCTTCGGTGACATGCATCAATGAAATGTGGAAGTCATACAGCTCACTGAATACCTCAAGTTTAATGTACTGCCGTGCTCGAGGATACGTATCTGCCATCAAGCTCAGTAACGCGGCGAAGAGCTACATATGCATATGGTCTTTTCAATACTTCGACTGATCTGGAGTAGCACGACTATTGTTCCTACAAACCGTACAGATTGTTTAACTTATTTTGCGACAGGTTGTATGGCACATGTGTATAGCTCAATGCACAACAACTACTCTGCGAATGATTTTCGAGCATTGAGTGGTTAAATCATATTCTATTTTCATTCTTGATATTTGAATCGAACAATTGTTGGTACACGACTACAACAACAACTAACAATGACCAGGATAAACTCTTCAGCACCTGACAGAACACCTTCCCAACAACCTCAACAGCAATTGCATTAATCGTCGAGCTCAGAAAACCTCCTTTCTATCATGAGACCTCATTTATTTTGAGGTGTAAATTAAAAGGTGATCACCAGGATATGAATTTGTGGCACATGTGTGTAGGCGATTGTGAAAGAATTTCAGTTTTAGGAAGAAAACCGATCACTGTTTAGTGTAAAAGTTGCAACTTTCAAATCTTTTGAAGTCTACAGGTTTAGCTCCAGGTGCATGAAAATATCTTTCACAGACGAATTTTTCTAAGTCGTTTGATGTAATTCGTTTTCTGTCGAATAACGCCTATCCTTCTTGATTGGAAACTAGGTAGTTCGTGGACAATTCTCTTATGGTTGACTATATAGGGAACCGACGGACATCTGAGAACGATATTTAACTGCAAGGTTGGGCAACATATCCTAGCCGATTTCTTTGATTGAAGATAGAAGATGGAGTGTTTAACTATGAGACGGGCCGAAACGTCCAGACTGCATTGTGGAGAAGACTACAGAAGCTGAAAAAAGGAGAAGACTACAGAAGCTGAAAAAAAACTTAACAGAACGATGTACGTGGGAAACAGAAACTGAGAAGATTGAGCTGGTCTCAAAAAATTGCTGTGCATAAGGTTACTGTCGATACCCTTATGAACTTTGACACCTCCGGGGATCCCCACAGATAAACTGAGGGGGATTTGCAGAAGGAATTCTCTGACAAAGTTGTATCCAGTGGTTTTACGCTAAATCGTTTTATCTGACAATTCTCGTCAAATTCGGAGGCTTACAATGCCTACGTGCACTATCTTTCGGACGAGGAGACATCTGCAGCTTACCTAAAGTCTCGATCTCTTCTCTCTTCATGCTTATATGTAATTCGCTCTAAAGCACTAGTGTGTGATTTATTGGGACTGTAACAAAGAGAGACTCTGATGTACAGAGTAGGCCCTTCTGTTGATTGTACCTTGATATTTATTTTGGGCATTCGAAATAACAAGAACTCGCGTTTCTGCTGCGGCGCTTGACAACCCAAGTTGTAGACTTCTCAGTATTTCTTATTCTGTCCACCGTCCTGCAGTTCAACAGCTTAGTGCAACGGAAGAAACATAAGCATAAGTTCACATTGTAGTCGTGTTGCCATTTGCAAATAGTTCCATCTGTCACCACAATGTGTTGAAGTGGAGTGACAGTGCCTGGTAACCAAAACTGTTGGCCTCACGAACACTGAGTTCAATACTCATGTGCCGAAGGTTGCCCAGCTCTGAGCGGATCTGCCGAGTGATGTCAGGTTGGACGTACGACAGAAAACTATGCCTCAACTGCGTTAAAAACGACGTACCTTTGACTATGTGCCTGTCATAGCCTGAAGACAATGCACTCCACGAGCGCCCCTGTAATAGCACAGGAGCGCTAGAAATGAGTCGATATATTTGAATCAGAGGAGATGGAGGGATAAGAGAAGACGACTACTTGAAACCGAAGATGGCCTCTCTTCTGGTTACATTTCTTTTCCGTGCTAGGTGAAGCTGCTTTGGTGTTGCCATAAATGTTTCCACATAACGAAGAAACCTTGACCAAATCATAAACCTGACGATTGTAAAGGCACCCGCAAAATCACTGGGATCTGGATCAAAGCTGGTAGAATTCGTAGACCCCCGTGGACTCCATCACCAGGAAGAACGACACAAATTCTCACGCTGCAGTCCATAATATGTATTGTCGATTATTGTACTCCTTGACCTTCAGATCCTGGACAGAGGCCAGTCCATGTAGAAAACATCCTGGAATGATCGTGCTTGAAGAGGTCAACTTGAAGATGTCCACCGTGGATAGTGACATGTGTAGTTTGTGGCTCGCTTCCTCCGAGGTTGTACAGTTTCTTCGAGAGACCATTAGTAGAATCTGCAACTGGAAGTTTCATGAAAATGCAAAACGAAATGCTGAGTCTGACATTACCTCAAACTAAAACATTCTGAGCAATGTGCAGAAAGAAACACTAATTCAATGGACATGTGAGATCTAACAAGAGGAAAAAATACCATTAACGATGAGCTTGAATTTCCTCAACTTTTGTGGTAACCCAGTTTTTGTTTTTGTCGGATTGAAACATTTTTGAAAAATAAGTACTGCGGTAGCAGTTGTAACTAGTAATCGGTACGCAAAAACAGAGTAAAAAGGAGAATCGTGGGTCTAGGAGAATCTAGGAGTTCGGGGGCTTAGGCCGCGGTCGGGCGCCTTGGACGGAAACGGACGGTTCATGCTGAAGGAAGCGCCTTTGGCAAAAGCTTCCTTGTTGAGGGGTCTTCGGCTGAAGGGCCTTCAGCGCAAGCAGAAGCAAGCGCATTCGGCTCAGACCCTTGCAGAGGAGCTTTCGCTGAAGACGTACGAAGCATGAAACACGGAACGCCTTCGTCAAGGGAAAACGACCTCGTCACTAGAAAAAAGCCTTCGGTGGTACGCCTTCGGCGATAGATTCCTTCGCCCAAGCGCCTTTGTTGCTAGCGCCGTCTTCGTCGTTAGGTTTCCCCTTCGGCGGAAGGTAATGCCTTCGAATCTAGGATGCTCCTTCGGTGGAAGGATGCGCCTTCGGCGGAAGAAGAAAGGACAAAGAAAACGGCGGAAGCATGTACCTTCGCCGCGAGCGCCTTCGTCGTTAGTGCCTTCGGCAATACACGGACGGAGAACGGCGTCGGCGGAAATCGGGGGGATCAAGATTGAATGTACAAGTGTGGGAGTCCGCGCAACGGCGGAGCGTGAATTTGCGCGTGCGAATCGGACCGTTACGCATCCGCATGGCATAGCATTCAAGCGGGCCGCGGCCAGCTCTAGTGTCGAACGATGAGAAATCTTGATCGCCGAAGGAAGAGACTCACTCTCGCATTTTCAATTTTGCACTCGCTCAAGCTCGCGACGCGCAGCGGAAGAATTCGCGGAGAGCTTGCGGAGAGGTTGTCAAGAGTGCGTTGTAGGAGAGTGTGCGGGAAATTTGTCAAGAGTGCGTAGCGGCAGAGTCTTGTGGAGAATTGCGGAGAATTGCAGCGAATTCGCATACAGAGCTCGCGACGCGCAGCAGCCGAGTTCGCAGAGAGTCATTAGAGAGTTTGCAGGGAGTTCGTAGCAGCAGAGAGCAGGAGTGCGTAGAGACTTTCAAGAATTCAATGGCCAAGTCGATTCAGCTGCGGATGGTTCCACTGCGAGTGCCGCAGGTCGGATTGCGTGCATTTCAAGATGAGCTGATGGCAGTGAAGCTCGACTTCCTTCTGTGGGGATGGAATTGGGTGTGCCCGGCGATGGTCCGGGAGTGGCTGCGAGAGAGGAACCAGCCTTCGCGAGGTTATTGACCGCACCCGGAGAGATGTCAAGTTAACGATTGGGAGCAGGTCTTGGGAAGATGCGCGGGAGAGTAAGGCGACCTCCTATTCAAGTGCGAGAGAGTGCAGGTCATGAAGGAAGAAGAAATTTCCTTCGGTGCACTTTTCAAGAACTGCAAGTTGAGCAAGAACGGGTACAAGACCCGTGACTACAAAGACCGCAAGTGGAGGAATGTCGCGGTAGCACTCCTCCAGATTTTACAGCCGCACTGGACAACTTACATGACATTTTGGCTGGTGGGATTTGTGGAGCTGGCGTTGGCAGGAACTCCGATTCATTGGGCTCGGATTTTGTGGAAGGTCACACGACAGCACGCGCAGAGGAGAAGGGAGGGTCGGTCAATCACCTCTTCCCCTTCTTGATCAATTTTTATCGGTCGATGGGGTGTTTGACAGCAACGGAGCGGGTACAATTTCCCTTGCTGTCGCGAGCAAATCCGGGCAGGTATGTGAAGGATGCCGAGGTTGACACCGACCCCGACGCGCGCGCGCCAGCACACCACAAGCTC